CGGAGCGCCCTCTGCCGGCCGAGTCCGGGCTCGGCGCCCGCACCCCAGCCCCTCACCGATGTCCCCTCCGTGCCCCAGCGTCCCTGCTGGTCCGGCCAGAGTTTTTATAAGCGGAGCCCACTGGGTTCAGGTGACAGGGACAGGCAGAGGAGGCCTGGCCCTCGGTCTCTTGGGGCTGGACCCCGAAACGAGCCCACACTTAAACGCAGAACTCAAGCTGATGTGCTCTGGCCACCACAGGGGCTGCCCGGGACAGCAGCTGCGGAGGTTGTAGCCCGAGAGCCTTCCTAGGGTAACGGCGATCAAAGTAAGAGACGCGCGTGGAAAGAGGAGTTAAAAGTAGCAGAAAGTGGCCCTGGCTAGAGCCAGGCTGTGCAAAGGCTCTGGGGCACGCAGGAGCTAGGAACTGAAGACAGAACGGCTAGAAAAGAAGCACGGTGGGGCAGGCACAGGCTGGAGAAGTGGGGCCCCAGAAGCCTCCCGAGGCCGGTCCCTGGACACACCTAACTAGCGCGGCTCCTCCTCAGGCCCTGCCCTTATCCCCCAGCCACAGGCCACCTCCTCCAGGGATCCCTTCCCTCCCCAAGCATAGTTCTCAGGAGGAAGTGGAGGCAGACACTGGTTTTATTTGGGACCCGATTGTGGGAGGAACCAGCCTGCAGTCGCTATGGCAGGGTGCTCGGCTGGCCACTCCCTCAGCAGCTTCCCCAGATCCCCGGCCCAGGCCCAGCCCTCGCTGGCCCGTAGCCCCTGCCGGGCCTTGGAGCCGGGTGACCCTCATTTCTCTGACTGAAGGGGCGGCTCTGGGTCCCATCTCCTGCCCTCGCGGGGCATCTGCTGGGGCCCTGTATGACCCAGGGCTCTGATCTCCTCAGGGACTGGGTGCCAGGTTGTACAGCGATGCTAGGGTGGCTTCTGGGTCTTTCTCAGCAAGGAGCTGGCCACAGCCAGGGCTCCGCCCTGCACAAAGCGCACGAAACTGTCACCAGCCAGTGGCCCGAGGGCGTACAGGCCCTCCTGGCGTGTGCTCTGGTAGGTGAAAGGGTCCACATCGATGGGGTTTCTCTTGGCGCTCAGGGGCTGCTCAGGGTCAGCAGTGAGGTTGGCGCCTGCCCCCGGGAGGAAGGAGAGGTCGGGGTGCGAGCCGATGAGGACGAGCACCAGGGAGACGCCAAAGACCTGCTGGTGGCCGTGCGGGGTGCAGAGCACTGCCTGGCCGTCCTCCTTGAAGAGCAGTGGCCGATGCCCAGGGAGGCTGCAATAGCCCTCGTAGGGGCTGGGTGACCGGGCCGACTGCTCCCGCATCATCTGGTGCACCTTGTGGTACTCGGGGTACAGCATCCTGGGCAGCTGGTTGAACACCAGGCCGGGGTCGTCCACCGGCCGCCGGAAGGCGTGGATCACAGGGAGGCCACAGTGTCGGGCATAGAGCACTGCGTCGGCTGCAGACAGCCCGGCGCCCACGATGAGCA